GCTGTCTAAATCCTTGCGACCACAAATAACAACAGGAGTTACACCTTGTGAGGCTTATCATCGAAAACACTAGCCATAGAAAGGATTCGCTAGATGGTCTTAACTCTAAATAGGTTTTGAATGGTTTTGATTGGTTTACAAATGATTTGGAGTAGCTTGCAAAATTCTTAATTGGGTTCAGGCAAGGTTTAGGGGAGCCCTTCTTTTCAATTGTTGGGGAGTTAGGGTTTCAGATTCAAACAGTGAGAAGGTTTGCCGGCAGCCGGCCGACGGGAGGCAGACAGTCTGTTCTATTCGGAGCCTGTCTTGGAGGCCTTGGAAGGTCAATTTACAGCCAGTTCTCAGGAGTTTTTCGTTGTGCTACACTGTTCCCCCCCTGACCACCCCTCTCTCCGCCCCAACCGCCCCCCACCCCCATCCCCCCCCCCCCGCTATAGCAATAAACAGATCCCCAAATTCCGTTCCAGACTACGCGTTCCAGATCATCGTAAATAAGACCTATGCTGTGCTAACAAGTCGTTCCAGACCACGCGGATCAAGTATGCCATCCAGACCCTCCGGATCAGACAGCATAGGGACGTTAATGCGGGGCACGTGATTGTGATCAGTAGCCATATGCATGAAGAACATGAATCCAAATCTAAATTCAGTAGATTGAATCCAATGAACAGAAAGCTCCTTATAGTCTAAGTAAAATGTCCTTAAAAACAATTGAAATCTATTCAAAGTTAATTAAAATCTACGTAAAATCCAGTGAGCTCATTAATATCTAACTTATATCAACTGAACCTTAATGAAACTAAAGGGTTTTGACCTCCACGTGTAAAGCAAAGTCAAATGCAGCTCAAATCTAAATAAAATGAAACTAAATCTTATTGGCATGGAAGATAAATCTAATGAGATGGAAAAATGTTGTTTCAAATGCACTTAAAATCTATTGAAACCTGATTGAAATTAGACGAGTGAAATATTTAAGTCATGTGAATTAAAATGTCATAAAATCTTAGACTGCGGACTTGAAACTGTAAAGCAAAAACCCTCAATCCGAAAGTTGGATCCAATTGAATTTGGAATCTTATTGCAGTGTAATTAAAATCCTTTCTATGTTAAGTTTTTGTCGATTATTCCAGGGGGGTTCTGCAGATGAAGAGAGGCCCTCTCACGCAAGCTCCATAAGGTGTAGCTCATGAGCTTTTAATCTATATAACTTTCATTTTCAGAGCAGCTCAGTAAAGCAGTCTCCCTAAACCTTACCTGAACCTAAGAAAAAACATGAAAATTACAAGCTACTCCACCTCACTTGTGAATCAATCAAAACCTATTTCGATTTAAAACCATGAATAGAAAATACTTCTATGGCTATTATTTTGTTCCGCTCATTCCAGGTGGTTTCTGTAAATGAGGGAGGCTCTCTCATGCAATCTCTGTATGGTGTAGCTCCGGAAGCAACGTTCGAGCCTCTAATTCAACCATAATAAGCAAATCAGCCTTCAAATCAGCTTTGCTTTTGTCATTTCAATGCAGCAAAGTAAAAGAGTCACCGTGAAGCTTGTTCAGTACTTGGAGATTTGCTTAAACTCAAACCTGAGACTCTAAGACACCAACCCTCAACACTGAAACCCAATCTCAAATTCCAAATCACAAACCCAAGATCTAGAACTTCGTAGTTGCTGAAGGTTAAGAAAGGACTCCATATAGACTTTGAAGCATCTTGATAAAGGAATGTATATACAAGAGCCTCACCTCGCATTGCTACTGGTGCTCTATTGGTGTGCTCTATTGTTGTTGTTGTTTGGACTCATTGATTTTAACCCCTTTTTTGTTCTGTGAATTTCACGTGGTGTTCTATTGGTCTTTCTTTGCTTCTGCTTTATCATGCATGTGGTTTCCATTGGTTTTCTATTGTGTTGATTCCAATTTATTGACCTCGTTGACGTGTCTAATGGTTTCGTGGGTCATTAACTGTTTTCTATTGGCCGTCTAATGGCTTTGGTTGACATTATGAAGGTTTTTGATGTTTTTTTGGTTGATGCTCCAGTGGTGTTCTATTGGTGGTTAATTCTATTCCTCTTTTGTTGGTTGCACTCGTTTTGTCATGGTTTTGTACTTTGTACCCTCCGCCCACCTAAGTATTACGTAGTACTACGCATTTCAGCTGCCGGAGTGATGAATAATATACATGCGAAAACTAGGTTTGTTTTTCCGCGAGCCCCCGTTTAATGTTAGGGAAGGGACTGTTGCTGAGGCCCGCAACCAAGTCTGGAACATGCAAAACTGCAATAAATTCGAAAAGCGTCTCTCTCTGTAATGTTAACATTGGGGCAGACCATTCCAAGTTTCAATGAAAATGTGTGAAGTCATTCTTTGGTTCCTGAGGCTGGTGCAAATCCTTCAGCGGCTTGTCCTCCACTCCTGCAAAGCACAACTGGTCAAGCCGGACCACACAAAAGTCTCGGTGGCATGCAACGTACACAAGTACTCTCGGCATGCTGACAGCCCGGGGATCGTTTATCTGAAGGTCCCCGAAACAGAATTGACAAAGGAGGGAATGATCCTGCTGCTGTTGCTGCGAAACTGTGGTCCTCATTTTTTGAGAATTCCAGCCTATCACAAAAATACAATGCTGAACCCGAAAGGACAAAGGACCAAACCTTGAGCTTGGCTTGAAGGACAAGCCAAACCTCCCATCTTCATAGCCCTTTCCCTGGACAATTGAAGAGCAACATCAACAGTTCAGGCCAACATGGCCATCACGATGTATCACGATGCTTTCAGATGTTAAGTTGCAAAAAATCGGCGCGGTTTGCAGGAGGGACACATCCGGGTTCCTCGCAGATCCACTTCCACTTTTGCTCCACCGGAGCCTGGAAGCCCTATCGGTTCGATGGCTTTTGCTGTCCACTAATAAACTCAGGGCCGGACGCAGTGTGACGGTAGGATATGCAAAAGAAATCTGCCAACGGCCTGGCCTTGTCAGAGCTCTCCGGGGCCCAGGCCGATACAAGTATCACATAACTTGCATGACGTCATATGGGGCCCCAACATTTCCAGAACATGTTCAATACCTTCCCCCGCGTGCTTGAAGTAGACGTCTGTGGCAAGAAATGTAACTGCAAAATATCCGTTGGCTTCAGAGATGTACCACGAATGGGCCCTTGGCTTGCACCCGCTGTCAAGCCGCATTCGATTTCATGGCCAGTAGACCATGGAGTGCTGCACCTGCACCATCACGTCTGCAATCTGTACAACTCAAAGCGGTCCAAGCGTTTGTAATGTACCCGTCATGCACTCACTTATTGGTGCTTGACAAGAAACCACCCGACAAAAGAGCACCACCAAACCGGCTACACTTGCAAAGGTCTCTAGGCTTGCAGCATCCAGTCTTTGACACCCATTTGAGGATTGGAGTGCCTCAGCCCTCGAACACGCGTACGATTCCAGAGCCCGGCTGAAAGAAAAATGCACATTGGCTGGAAGGGATGCCTGATTCGTTGAAATTTGACCTTTGCACCACCCCATACCACAACTTCATTTTTGAAGTTCTACACGCACACACCAAAAACAAAGAGAGTCGCTCCAACAACAGGACCGTGTGCACATTGGAGAATGGTTCCATCGAAGTCATTCGCGTGGCCATTGACGTCGATGAGAAATCATTAACAATAACGCGCCACATCCCATCTCGTTGTAGACCGGTGGCTCGATGCTTGGGCCCGCACAGATCTCGAGCATCATGGCCTGGCAGAACGATGGTGCAGAAACTGCCAAGTCCTCAAAGGCAATTCATGCCCGGAGCTCCGTTAACAAATGATCTTCCGTGATCACCATGGAACCCGACCTCTCGTCTGTCATGGACAACTTCATGCATCACACCCGACACACGCACAGAAGAAGACCTCGCCACGTGACCTGCCACAATGAAAAAAATCATGAAATAGAACTCCTGAGCATATGGGTTCCGTGCCATCCAACCATGTCGCGATTGGTATCGCCGGCCTACACCAACAACGCTCTGCAAAAGCTCGGAAGTGTGTTGTGCATCACTGTGTGCTGGGATGGGCACGCAAAGCCCAATGGCAATTTCACCAAACCTGGCCATCGCGCATGTGACACGAACGCCCTCAAAAGACATTGATCCCGCTGTCATTCATGCCGCTAGCAGGCTCAACAGACCTGATACAATAATGTATCAATCATAGTTACAATAACAACCATAATTCATCATGTTTTCCTACACCCACAAGCATATTTGCCAAGGCACGTCCCAAGATGCAGAACTCGCAGCTTGAAGCTCTCTCCCGGTGACAAAGGGACCCTTGCAAAAATGGTGTGGCCATGCCGGTGGCTGTTGGTCGACTGAGCTGCGTGCGATCCCTGGACAGTGCATACGCCAGGCCGTCGGTTTGGGCAAGTGGCATTGAACACACCGGGGAATCCTCAGCTGCTGCATGTGCAGCACGCGTGTTCTCACCACAAATTGGCCGCAGCCTGTTGGTACAAGATCTGCACCTATTGACCTTGCAGGTGTGGACGGTCTTATCTTATCCTACCGTGCTGCGCCATGCACGAAGCAACTCAGCACCGCACGTGAGCTCAACGGATTTGTCCGCTTGCTTTTCTGCTGCTTCCGGTAGCTTGCACAGCGGCAAATCCTGCAAGGCAACAGCCGCAACATGGTGCATCAGAACAAAATAGCAAAGCATTTCACATGTTTCACTGGGGGTGCTGCCAAGTGCGGTGCCAACATGGGCACATCAATAGCTCGTCAAGTGGCAAATGGGTGGCGTTGTTTGCAGTTACGTCCTACATGCTGCAAATTACCGGTGGTTAATCCTTGTGGACCCTGGAGTTGGCACCAATGTGGTGGAAAGTGCGATTTCCCCTGCGTGCGGCTTTTTGTCTGACGTTCCAAAATGGAATTGTTGTATGTGCCACGAAGCCTTTTACCGCCGAGCGTAATTTGCAATCCATGAGCATCACGGACCGTACACAAAAAACATGAAATTCATGCGTCCCCTCACTATATGATCAAGCGAACTGCTAAAAATGTCCGAATGCCGAAACCAATAGTTTCGAACACGGCGAGCTTCCACACGCTGGAGCTGTCCGGTGTCTCCAGCCGAGAGCCTGGTCAACGGCGAGGCCGGGCGTGCTGTCGGCTCCAGGGCAGGCCGTCACGTTTGACTGGGCTGACAATCGTCGCGTCCACTGCGACCTGGGTGCCTTGCCAAGATGCAACCTCTCTTGCGCCCATCCGCCGCCGGCACGCCGAGATTTAGGCACGCCATGCATTATCCCAGGCGGTTGCTGCATCTAACGAACGTTGCATCTGCATAGAACAAAACATGAAAGTGTGTGGCATTTGATTCTGGACCACATGCTCCGCCTACACACGCGCGCTTGATTGCGGCGGCGAGCCCGTTTATTAAGAAACTTGAAAGAACTCGCCCCTGCCCTGCTGTGGCCGCAACATCCCAAGATTCTGAGAGACAGTGATCAATGCGAATTGCGGCTGTGCGGTCCGAATCGCTGCAAGCAGGAATTCCAGCTCAATGCAGTTTCAACAGCGCGCCCCCACGTCATGCGACATCCAAAGCCCTCCGGATGTCGAGGCACGTCTGAGAATTCCGTGTCACTTGGGACATTTCGAATAACGCATAAACTTAAACGTTGGGAACACACTTACCAAGGTTCCGGCTTTGGGAGAGCTCGGATGCCGGCAAAGCTGCGGGAAAAAAACAGCACGATCAGCCGGCAAAAATTCTATTTCTGTGTCTGAGTCGAAGTCCCGGCAAACGTTTGGGGCAGGCAATGGAGAGATACATGTCCGGCATAGAACGGACTACGTGAGGAAAGATCTGGATATAAATCACGGATTATGCAATGAGTCATGAGTAGGGTCCAAGGTTATCTGTTCTCGGTGTTATCAATTATCAATTGTTTGGAAGGGATCCCCAATTGGGGGCTCAGCACGTATTGCAAGACCTGATGGTACTTGGTGGAGCAAAAATCGTCCATGGTTGATCCCAGGGGGGTGCTCGATGCCACAGGCAG